TGAAACTTGAATGGATAAATTTACTTTCAACCAAAAGACAAAACAAAGACAAATACTATTTCACAGTGTTAAAGAATACACAGTTTAGCAGAATTGGCAGCAACCGAACAAATTTACTTTCAACCAAAAGACAAAACAAAGACAAATACTATTTCACAGTGTTAAAGAATACACAGTTTAGCAGAATTGGCAGCAACCGAATAAATTTACTAAGCAATCTAAGTGAAATGGCTAATCTAAGTGAAATTACGAGTAAATTTATCATTAAGTTAAATATGGAAAATCTTAAACTTACCTCGTTGCGTAGAGTATGAACCTCATTCTGCAACGATACTATCATCTCACGTAGAGCGGCAACCTCACCACGTAAAGTTGACACCTCCACACGCCATGCACCATCGTTATCGCGTAGAGTACCGATCTCCTCACGCAAGGCATTGACCTCATCACGTAACTCCCTTGACTCATCCCGTTGAGGTGGAGGTGGAGAACAGGGAGATAGGAGTCGTGGCATCTTTGCCGGTCACCTATCATGAGGTGATGGTGGAGAAGAGGCTCGATGATGTGACGGGATAGGTGATGGCTCTCGTTCTAGAGGTGTATAGTCGGGTCGATCGGGTGATGGCTCTAGGTGAGGTGATGGCTCTCGAATTGGAGGAAGTGGATGCTGCTCATCATCCGTGCCATCAAAAAAATTCTGACTAGCTTGCCACCAATCAGTGGCAAGCTCTTCCTCCGTGGGTGTCAGTCTTTGTAATGGAATGTTAGCCTCCTAAAATATAAAAACTCAAACAAAGTTAAACGTCTACTATTAATAACTGTTTATATATTATATGAAAGTATTTGTGTTAACTTACATTATTTATTGTGGCATATGGTATTAAGTCTTCCCAATCCAACAGAGTTTTCCTCTTCCAGGAAATAGCCCTGGGAATATCATTTGACGTTTTTATTGCATATGTACGCATGCTGGGGAAAGCCTCGAATATCCAAATCTACAAACAATATAATAACAAAATTAGTAATTGTTAAATAATTAATTATAATTTTAGAAACATTATATAGAAATTCTTACCTTAAAGGCCCAAACAAAGCCTGACAAAGTGTATTTGGACCCATCGCCCCGCAAACTTTTGCGGTCATCAAAGGCAGACGACAACTTAGTCCAGGTAGCTTTCCATATATACGAACCCCACGGAAACAGATTCCATGCATTCAGGTCCTCTACCAATATTATTAGCTCCCGATGAATAGGTTGTCTGGCCTCTCTGCCTAAAAAGCCGGCATACACAAGTAGTAGAAGGCATACTCGGACAACATCGACGTCATCCATCCGAGTGAAACCAGCTTTCTTATTAAACAATTTCTTCAGGTCGTCGACATGTAGGTTCGGCTTCTCCATTGACTCATCCGGAAAAACCCGGGATAACCATGATGGGCGGGCGATATGACGAGTGTACCGGCCTACATATCGTGTCCGAATCGTAGACCAGTGATTAAGCAGAACTCCTTCCGCCCAAAACAAGTATACGCTGGTGGAAAATGAAACCATATCTCTTCCTCACCACGTTGTATACTGTCGGGTAGATTTGATGTCATGGTCTGAAGCCACAAATGGGTCAAATTAGCATCTCCACCCGGATACTGTACTCTCAGCCATGGCCCGAAGCAGGTTTCCTCAAACAATTGTCTTTGAGCAGGTGAAAGCTTCTTGCAATTGTAGTGGCCAGGCTGACTTTATTTCTCAAGGTCAATTGAGCCGAAAAAAATTTCTACAAAAACAATAAACATACCAAGTTAGATATACCAAAAACTACACTGTGAAGATATACCAAAAACAATAAACATAAAAAGTAGTAGTTTATTCTTGAAACTAAAATTTGCAACACTGTTTTGTCTTTTGGTAGAAATGAAAATCGCAACGAGAGAATCGCAACGCGAGATGACAATCGCAACGAGAGAATCGCAACGCGAAATGAAAATCGCAACGAGAGAATCGCAACGCGAAATGAAAATCGCAATGCGATTTTGGTTTCGCGTTGCGATTCTCTCGTTGCGATTTTCATTTCGCGTTGCGATTCTCTCGTTGCGATTTTCATTTCTCTCGTTGCGACAGTCATTCTCTCGTTGCGATTTTCATTTATCTCGTTGCGACTCTTCTGCAAATTGAAACTTGAATGGATTGCATTACTTCAACCAAAAGACAGAACAAAGACAAAGACAAATACTAACTTGAAAATCGGAACGAGAGAATAGCAACGCGAAATGAAAATCGCAACGACAGAATCGTAACGCGAAATGAAATCTAAGTGAAATGGTTAATCTATTATTGAAATGACCAGTAAACTTATCATCAGTTTCAATATGAAAAACCTACAATAATGCAAACATTTCAAAATAAAAATAATTAAAAAAACTAACCCTCGGAGGATGATTTTCCATTTCTGAATATTGTGAGGGATTTCTGACCGTGAATGGTTGTGAGGGATTTCGCCGGAGATGGGGACGGAAATCTTCGGAGATGGGGACGGATTTCTTCGCCGTAGAGAGTGAGAGATGGAGATGGGACTGAGTTGTGATTTTAGGTTTTAGGTTATGAGTTGCGATTACGGGATTTTGTCTTAATATTCTTTTTGTAATTTGAAAATAAAATACGCGTAGCGATTATAATGGCGCTTTAAATATCGCGTTGCGATTTACGGATACGCGTTGCGATTTTATGTATTATCGTTGCGATTTACGGATACGCGTTGCGATTTATGTGTTCGCGTTGCGATTTTCATATTCGCGTTGCGATTTTGGAAAATCGCAATGCGAATTTGTACTATCGCATTGCGATTTTCAAGAATCGCGTTGCGATTTTGGAAACTGATTTGCGATTCTGGGGATCGCGTTGCGATTTTTATTTCGCGTTGCGATTTTGTTGGTCATTTTGGCAAATCCAAAAAAAGTTGGTTAAAATCGTATATTATAACTTTTTTTTGGTCACTGAGGCGATTTTCTCTTTTAATAAAGGTAACCTTAAGCATGATTTTGAAAATAATAAATTGAATGACCAAAATAGAAATAAAATAATAGGTGAGTGACTAAATAGATAATTTATCATTTTTAATTATATATGAATTTATAATTTGCAATAAACTATACAAAAACAAAAGTAAGTTCCATGTCCCCATCCCTATTACTTGGATTGGGATCAGATGTCTTTTCCTACTTCAGCTCCAATATGCCATGAATTCTTAAATACAGTACCATAAACCGATTAATGCACTTTTTGTTGAGAACCCAATATTGAGAATTTGGATTGCTGCTAAATGAACAAGAAAGAATACAAATCATAACCTTAAATAATAGGGTAAAGTACACAAATGACCCCTCAACTATAGGACACTACTTTATTGAGTCTCAGATTATTAAAAGTTACAAAATGGTCACTTGACTATTCATATGTATCAAACTCATCCTTTTCTGTTTAAAAAATGACGGTCATTGAGCCAAACATTAACATGTTGATTGAGATATGATAAAATATGATCCTATAACTGTTTGAGTTATGTAGTCATTTGAGATTCTAATATCAGATTTTATGATATCACAGTCAGCAGGTTAACGTACATCCAGTCTAGACGATCGTCAATCTTTAACAAAAAAGATGAGTTTGAAATATATAAATAGTCATGTGATAATTTTGTAACTTTTAATAGTTGAGAGACTCAAAAAAACATAACCCTATAGTTCGGGAACCATTTCGTGACTTTTAATAGTCGGGTATTCAACAAAACAACATCCTATAGACGGAAGACCATTTATGTACTTTACCCTAATTAATATCAATCAAATCACAGAAAAATTTCCGGTCTTGTAAAGTTAATTTTCTTCATCAGCTCATAGAATCAAAGCAAATTAGAGATTGATAAACCCTCAGCAGCGTGATCCGAGGATAATCCTATAGAAGATCAATTGGACTGAGATGAATCGACAATGAAAAACTTCCTACATATAAAACTTCTATAAGATACCAGTTGTCCAAAACAGTTGCAGAAACATGAAAGTTCACATTCCATAACTAAAACTTGCAAGCAATCCTTTTTCCCCTTCTTATTTTGGTATTCTTGACAACTAAACAATTTGCTTTCACAAATCACACATGACTGTAAAATATTGTCTGCTAACTTTATCACAATAGAAAAAGAGTTAATTACATCACATGTCCTCAAAGTATGACTCTCATTTTAAATTGATTCCTAAACTTTTAAGTGTTCCAATTTCATCTCTAAACTATGACTATCATTCTAAATTAGTTCTCAAACTTTTGAAAATTTTAATTTTATGCCCAAACAATGACCCTCATTCTAAATTGGTCTCCAATTTTTTTTTTTGAAAATTCTAATTTTATCTCAAACTATAGGTATATACTAATCACATTCATTGTTAATAAATTCATTAGGCCAAGTTATATTATTTTTTTGGTAACAAATATTGACACTGAGCTATCAATGGTTACAGCATCCTCTCAAGTTGGATTGTTCAGAGTTTATAATGTTCTGGGTCTCCTGAGGTGGTTGAGGTAGCACCGAAAGCCCCAAACTAGTGTGACGGCCGCGGTTAGCAAGCTTATCGGCCAGATAGTTAATCTCACGTGGGACATATCTGAATGTGACAGACCAACGACGGCTAACCAGGCTTCAGTTTCTTCTAACAATTGTGGACTCATGTAGTCGAGGGAGAGATTCAAAAGTTTAGGAAGCAATTTAGACAAAGGGTCATAGAAATTAGAATGTTCAAAATTTTAAGGACTAATTTAGAATGAGAATCATACTTTGAGGATGAAATTAAAATATTTAAAAATTTAAAGATAAAATTAAAATAAGAGTTATAATTTGGAGACATAAGATGCAATTAACTCATAGAAACACACAGAAGTAGTGCATAAAAATGAAATCTCAGAAAACCAGAGAGCAAAGAGTTCAAATTTAGATATGTGGGTATATGAGACTTGCGTATTAGAGGAAGGACCAAAGAGAGGATTTTCTCTCAAAGGCTGAAAAGAAAGCCTGCCGAGGAACCTAGCCACACAGCCGCCTTCATATCGCAGGTTGTTCTTAGGACAATCATTAACAAACATCACTACAACAAAAACGGCGACATTTGCCACCACAAACATCGGAACAAGCCATGGAGTCCATTGCTTTTCATCGTTCTCCACATAGCCATGATGTCCCTTGTTCTTCTCATTGCCTCCTACTACTCCTCTTTCTGGATCCCCAGTTGCCATTCTCCTGCAAAACAGAACTCCCTTCTTTCGGTGTTTAGTGGACAAAGTGGTGGTGTTTTTGCTGGGTTCTTTTGGGAGGATTGAGTTGAAGTTTATATCAAACTACAGAGAGGTGAAGTTCAACATAGTGCTGGATACGTGTATCTCGTCTCGGTGGTTTGTCAGGAAGGCGGTGGGTTGATGGAGTAACCTAGCCTCTTTTTTAATGCAATAAATAATACACGTATTCTAAATAAATCCCCTGTATACACTTTTAAAAATATTCAGTATTTGTCAATAATTTTGAAATAGGCAATTAAAAGCTTTTATTTAACAGGATTAGTATTTAATCGAGTCAAATTAAATGAAAATATCTTAAATAAATTGAATTTACGAGTTATATTTTATGAATAAATTTAATTTGAAATTTTTTGAGTAAGTTGAATTGTTCAAATTTTTACACAAATTTAATTGTAATTATTTATAATATTTTGGTTCTAATTTTTCGACTTTATCTAATTATATATATATATATATATATATATACTTCTTCATATTCTTTCCGTATTATAATATTATTTAGGGTAAATTACACATTTAATATCTAAATTATCAATTTTATTTTGTTTTAGTACTTAAATTTTCATTTGTTTCAAAATCATATTTAACATTTACGTTTTGTTTCATTTTAATACTCAACTGTTAAAAATTTAATGTTGCAGCTGATGTGATATTTTTTTAATTATTATTTAATTAATTTTACTCAACTAATCAAACTAAACTTACCAAACTAAATCCAAAGCCAAACCATAATCGAAAGCATAATAGAGAAGAGAGAAAGAATACTTACCTTCCCGGCATTTGGCATCAGTGACGGCCAACAATAACTCGACAATGACGATAGTGATAATTCCAATGGTCGGACGACCAATTCAAATGGTATTTAAAGAACAAAAGGAAACAAAAATTAGCAAAACAAAGGAAAATAAAATAAAACTAAAAGGGTGAAGAGTTTTACCCTAACCTTGTTTTTAATGCAATAAATAATAAACGTATTTTATATAAATCCCATGTATACCCCCACTTTTAAAGTTAAGAGTAAAGTGCACAAATAGTCTACTGATTATAGGATATTCTTTTGTTGAATTATCTGACTATTAAAAGTTACAAAATGATCCTTCAATTATAGGGAGTTACTTTATTGAGTCCGTCGACTATTAAAAGTTACAAAATGGTCATCTGACTATTCATTATGTTCCAAACTCATCCTTTTCTTTTAAAAAATTAATGGTCACCTGAGCTGGATGTTAACATGCTGACTGAGAGATATGACAGTTGTTTGAGATTATGAGATCATATTTTATCATATTTCAATCAGCATGTTAATGTCTAGCTCAGACAACCGTTGATTTTTTTTAATAGAAAAAGAACGAGTTTGAAACATAACGAATAGTCGAGTGACCATTTTGTAACTTTTAATAGTGAAGGGACTCAACAAAATAACTCCATATCATCGAGGGACCATTTGTAACTTTTAATAGTCGAGTGACTCAACAAAGTAATTTTATATCATTGAGGGACCATTTTGTAACTTTTAATAGTCAGAAGACTCAAGAAAGTAGTATCCTATAATCGAGAGTACACTTCGAATAATGTTGAGTTGGTTGAAGTGTCAAATGTGTATAAAAGTTGCATACATTCTCTCTCCTTGCAACTAAATTCAAATGGCGTTGTTCTTTTCTTAGACTTTTAGTGCTTTTGGGTTGTTGTTAAGGTGATTTCCATCGATGGCATGTCATTGAACGTGAGAAGACAGTTTTAAAGTTACAAAATCAACTAAGTTGCCTCTTAAAGCATATACTTACTTGGAGTGGTATAGTGAGGTTTCTTGTTTTTCTTTCTTTCTTGGGTAAACTACAAGATTGATTAATTTCGTTTAAGTTTTATATAATTTTTCTCATTGAAATCAGAAAACGTAATATTTTGTCACTTTCATTTTTTATTTAATTAAGATGTAGTCACCGATGGTTAATTGTCGTTAGACCTTTAATGAGTTGCTTACGTAGCACAATGAATATATAAAATAAAAAGGATAAACTACACAAATGATCACTAATGTTTGAGTAAGTTTTCATTTTCCCTACTAAAGTTTCAAAAAGTAAAAAATTGGACATTAAAACATCAAATATGTCTTTGAATAATGATTTTATATCTAATTTGCCCCAAAAGCTTTCTAATTTTTTTTTCAATTTTTATATATAAAAATATAGAATTTTTAAATTTTAAAAATAAAACTTAGAGTTTGACTTTTTTAGACATGAAACAATCGAATATTTCGAATGATAAACAAAAAAATAAATCTTAATAAATTGGAAGAATAAATGTTATATGTAAGGTAAATTCTCAAACTTGTATGAGTTTTAACTATGGTAGGACTTATGGAGTATGAATTTTTTACTATGAATTTTTTTACGTATTGTGAAAATCAAAATAATGATTTTTTTATTAAAATAAAAATATATTTATATTCTCAAAGTAAATATTGAGGTTCAAATTCGTATAAGATCAGACAATATAAGTATCATTGACCACTCTATCAATCAATTGATCTCAATCAAACAAATATAGTAAATAGGAGAGAGTTTAGTTTGGTTTTACCTTGTCGGTTGATTTCTTGGCCGAGAGTCGTACTCCGCCGGAAGTGGGAAGGTCGACGCCTTTCGGCCGTTTGGGGGCGTTCCTTTTTTTGGGGTCTCGGTTTTAAGAGGGGGTTAAACAAAAAAAGAGGAGGTTTTCTTGGTCCTCTGGGTTTCGTTTGAGACACTTCCGGCCGGAGAAGGCGGCTATCGGAGCGAATGGCCACCAAAATATGGTGGCCGGCCGTGAGGTTTGGGGGGTCGAGTGAGCCTCGGTCAACGGAGAAGAGAAAGTTTAGAGTTTAAGGTATTCGGACTTCATTTGGCCGTTGATTGGAGGCTGAATTACGGCGTTTTGAGCGGCTGCCGGTGGCCGGGGTTGTTTTTGGTTTTTTGAGCGGCGCCGGCCGCGTGAGAGCGGGCTCAGATTACTACTAACAACCTAGAAATAAAGAAAGAAAACCATGCAACAGAGTCCATCTGGGAACGAATGAACCATGGTGGCACTGTCAAGAACAAAAATGCCCTAAAAATAAACTTCCGCAAATGATCCAAGACCAACAAGATGAGTGATACAGACTCCACAGAATAGGCCTAGCGACCAAGTAGGAATCAGAAGTAACATGAATCATATCGAGGAGAGGAATTCTGACAATCTTACCAACCCGACTAATGTGGGCCTTGTAACAACAATGCCAGCACATTGTCAAGGGGAGATGGGGGATGCAATGGATCAGCAACAAACCCACCGGTTATGATGAGTATCCTTTTCTGTAACACACAAGGAGTTGTCGAACCCTCTTTTAGAAGACAACTCAAGGAGATTATCAAAGAAAGAAAACCGAGAATACTAGCCCTATTTGAAACAAAGACTAGTGCTAGCAAAGCGGATAAGATAATTCAGTCTTTTGGCTTTGGAAACTCCTTTCGGGTTGAAGAACAAGGATATAGTGGGGGCATCTAGCTTCTTTGGGATAATGCGGTCAACATCCAAATCCTCCAAGTGTCCAACCAATTCATTCATGGCAAGTTTAAAGAAGCCTCGAGTGCAAGGTGGCATTTTTTCACTGCAATTTATGCAAGTCTGAATATTACCATTAGGAAGCATATTTGGAATCTACTCGACAAACTAAACCCTGGAGATAAGGAAGCCTGGATCCTAGTCGGTGACTTGAACTGCCTTTTGAGAAGCGAAGACAAACATGTGGTAATAATCGTAACGTTGGCTGTAGTCGTCAGTTTAATGATTTTTTGTTTAACAACGACCTAAGTGAAATCAATACCAAAGGTCCAAGATTCTCCTAGAGAAGAGGAAACCTTTGGCAGTGACTCGACAAGGCCTTCATGAATGAATGGGAAAGTCTCTACCCGAAATCTTGCATTAGGCACCTATATCGTATTGGCTCGAATCATTACCTTCTCCTAGTTCAAACTGTAGACAGGCCTGAGCATAAAAAGAATAAACCGTTTCGCCTGCTTGCTGCTTGGTTGGAACACCCAAACTTTAAGGAGTTTCTCCAAGGAATTTGGAACCCGGAGGCAAACATTATGTCCAATGTGATGGGCTTTAGGAACAAGGTCAAAGATTGGAATCAGCAAGTGTTTGGCAACATTAGTGCGAAGAAGAAGAAAATCATGGCCAGATTAAAAGGTATTAACAAGGCTCTCCAACAACGTTATTCCAGTTTCCTTGTTGAGTTAGAAAAAGATCTATCCATGGAACTCGACGAGATCCTCAAGCAAGAAGAACTGCTTTGATATCAAAGGGCGACAAACAAATGGATCATACATGGTGACAAGAACACGCGCTATTTTCACAAGTGCACCACCTTCCGACAAAGGCGAAACTATACCGAATCCTTAACCCTCCCTTCGGGAGAGATTTGCACTAATCAACGGACCCTTATGGATCATGCCATCGCATACTATAAGGATTTTTTTTTCTCGAGCACCATGTTGGAGGACAATAAATATCTGACTAGAGGATACTTCCCAGAAATCAAACCTAACCAAATGACCATGTTGGAAGCCCCTGTTGTACATCAAGAGATCAAGAAAGCAGTCTTTAGCATGAGTCCACTCGAAGCCTCTAGTGCCGATAGGATCCATGCAGCCTTCTATCAAAGAAACTGGAACCTTGTCGGAAACAGTGTTTGCCAATTGGTTAAAAGCATTATGGGAGAGGAGACTTTGGATGGGGAGTTAAGCAGAACCTTATTGGTCCTTATACCAAAAGTTGACAACCCAAATCTGATGTCCCACTTCCGCCCTATTAGCCTTTTTTCTGTC